GTGACGAACTCGGGCGAATAAACCCCATTTCGAGCAGGTAATCCAGCTGCTTCCGTAGTTCGTCCAATTCGGGTTGGGTCAGTCGGAACTGTCGCTGTACTGTCGGCTGTGCCCCCGGTTCTAGTTCTATCCTGTGGTCGTGCGGTCGCTGAGGTGGCAGTCCTGTCGGCAGATCGTCCGGAAAAATCCCACTGTACTGCTTCAGTAGCGCTGCTAAGTCATCCGGTACGTTGGCGAGCAGTTTCTGTAAATCCCCCCCTTTGTCTGCTGCCTCGGCTTCCCGAATGTCAACCGCATACACGTCAGCTCCTGTCGCTACGGCGCGTTTCATCGTGATCGCGTTGACACGCACCGACGAAGACTCGGGTGAGCTCCAGCGATGTAAGGCGATGTTGTTACCGTTCACTCGCGGGTTGTGTCGTCGCAGCTAATCACGGCCGAGCAAAATGTCGGTTCCGTCGAGGGTCGTTGCAAGCATTTCCTGGCTACCCCCGCATCGAATCCGAACTCGGTCTACACGTTCCCGTATCGCCAGTGGCGTGTCGTCAACAAGTCTTGCGTCGATCTCAGGTAAATACCTATTTAGTGGCAGTTTCAGTCGCCGTGCTGTGGCAGTGTTGATGAGGCTTTGGCTGGCTCCCCCGTTTACGAATATTTTAACTGAGTCTGTCCCAATCTTCCCACTAAGCAGTATGGGGCTATCTACCGATGTACCCTCCTTATTCGGCCCGGTGTGGTCGATTGCGTGAACCGACACAATCACTCGGTGAGGGTCGGTTGGGTCGGGCGAGCGGCGTGACCTGTCAGTAGCGGGCCCGTTTGCTACTGACTCAAAGCGTTTCCCTGCTGCTTGGTCTGTTTCTGCTGCTCAGCTTCCCCCTTTCCCTTAGCATTTTCCGGACATTCGCTTTTGCGGTGTCCCGGCCTGTTGCACGTGAAGCAGCGCCCTTTGAACGGTGCGGCAGCGGCATTTGCAGCGACAGCGCGTATCGTGGCGTGCTCGTTCGTCCCATGAGGTCGATGTCCCCAGCTGCTGTTGTTGCCGTAGGACCCCGATCTCGGTCGGCGAAGAAAATCAAGTTTTTCCGCCATAGCGAGAATCTCCTGAAATTCGGTGACGTTGCGGAGCTGTATTTCCTGAGCGATTTCGTGCTTCAGGCCGCCGATGTAGCGGTCGATGCGCTCGCCCTCGTGCATATAGCACACCTGCTCACACAACGCCAGGAACCCGCTGGTGTAGTCCTGGACGGAACCGAGTTGACGCCAAGTGCGGAGCTTCTGACGCGCCGCGATAGAAGCCGCAATCGGCTCGAATCTCGTGCGCAGACCTGCGCACCATGCATCCCACGTGCGATACTGGGGCACTTCCACGAAATATGACGGCACCGAGGGTCCTGTTTGTCCTTCCCGTGTTGGTAGAGTCTGATAGTCCATCGGCTTCGTGACGATGACGTCCACCAATCCATTGCGGGTCCTCGCAGCAGCGACACGGCGTAGCGAATCTTCGCCGAATCCTCCGAGACGTAGTTCGCGTCGAAGAATACGTTCATGGTGAATAACCACGCCTGAACGGTAGGACCACCCCGTTGACTCGGGTCAAAGCAAGGCGGACGCTGCGACGGCAGTGCTGACTCGCCGGTCGGCATCGAAATCGTGACGCGAGGTTGGCTTATGGCCGCATTCGTCGCTCCGGGGTGTGTCGCGCCGTGGTCGTCGTCTCAGTCGTCGCGGGCGATGCCATCACTAGCCGCGCTAGAGGGTTGTTCCACGCTTCCGTGTTGTGATGCTTGTCGTGCGGGTTGTCCGTGCGTGCCTTGTGTCTGTGACTGTGCTTGTTGTGCTCATGCGACGTCGTTTTGCAGGGACGTTCGTTCTGCCGTCAGCGCCGCAATTTCTTCGGAGCTTTCGTGCAGTTGCTGCAGCAGTTCGTTCAAGCGCTCCTGTGTGAGACTCGTGACGTCGATGTGCTCGGCCATTCCGAAGGGCGTCGGCTCAGCTTAGTCCTAGGCGCAGTTGTGGCTGCACGCGTTTACGAGAGAACGCGAGGACAGCGGCTCCTAGGTGCTAAGGGGCGTGAGTCCCTTCGAGCAAAAATCAAAAGTTGATTCCTTGGGGTGCGGAGATGCGCGGTCCGAAAAGAAAGTGGCTCTAAATACCAAGTGTTACTGGTGCAATGGAACGAGGTAACAAGGACTGCACTATGTGGGTCAAAAGTACAAAGTATGAGCGAAGGCATGAGCGAATACTTATGTGCGGAAACATGCAACGGTTACGCGGTGCGTGCGAGCTAGCTAGTGCTAGGCTGGCATTGAGGTTCGGGCTAGTCCCGAAGCGTGGGCCGGCTCGGCCAGGCCAGCAGTGCAAGGTTTGGTAAAACAGTGCGCGCGAAGTTGGCGAAGCCCCGTTAGCAGTAACGGGCGAACAACGGCTGCTGCTGTACGCGATGTTGAAGAACGCGGTAAGGAATGCTGAAAAATTCCTTACAACAAGTCAATCAAAAGCGTATTGGCATGATTTTTTTACAAAAGCATGAAGTAATCGGAGTCACGAGGTAGCCGTTGAGACACTGTTGTAACAACGATAGCCTAACGAGTCGTTGATGCCCTGCTCGTGTTAGAACATAGTGGCCCACATCTTGCTGCAAGGAAAGGCTTCGGGCAAAATCAGATTCCGCTCAAACGGAGGGCGGTACTAGCACGGAGTCGGTGCCATGAATGTACATGTCTTCGCCCTCATACATGTCTGGTAGTACCACTCTAACGGGTATGTCGCCCTTCCCCTTGAACGCGAGCTTGGACGAATTAACTTTGGACACTTTGGTGACGAACGAGCCTTCCATGGTGGCCAGGCGCGTGTTAATAGGTAAGGCCTTCAGCTGCCACGCCTTGTACGCGCCCCTGATCGCGTGGTACGTGAACATCCGCGCCACCTGTGCATGAGCGATGAATTGGAAAGGGAGCAGAAATAAATTGGTGTTCTTCCAAAAGCTTCTCCCCATCACATGAGCTGCTCAGATTCAGCGCGCACGCGGTGCTGATTCGCTAGCTGGTTACGTTAGAAAGTTCTCAGCCCGAAATCAAGTCATCAACTTCAGCATGCTTTGCGGCATGCCCCATCCGCCATAAGGTTCCAGTTGGTGCAACAAGAGCCAAGCAGTGCCACTACAACGTAATCGGCGGATCCAGCTTCTGTCAGCCCCGTTTCGCTGTTTATTGGTTTTGTTTCCATTGTGAACTGTAATTTATGTTCAGGAGTGTTCAGAGGGTGCACTCATGAAAGCATGGCCATGCGGAAGGGATGCGCAGGGCTGTGAATCTCCCGACATTCCACGACTTACTCTCACAACTATCGTATGGCTGCCAGAAGTGTGTTTGCGGATAGTTTTCAAGTATGCTGACGAGCCCCAGAAGCATGGTATGGAACGTGGCGAAAGCATGGCAACATACCTGATCGCTTCTGAATGTGGCGATAGACATGGCGAAAGCCGCCGCGTTGATAGGGAAGAGCAGCGTCGCGTTCTTGAACACGGCGACCCTGCCAGTGTCTGCAGCCACAGTACAGGGGAGGACCATAGTGGCGAAGTGGAGAATATGAACCAGGTGCATGGGCAGGTCCGAATGCTGACATAAAATGTTTGTGGCACGCGGCGACAGCAACTATAAAATACAGTGTTGGATCCGCGCTGTCGCTAGACTCTACCGTACCATTATTCGAACCATCGTCTGGCGGCGCGTCTGGGGGCGTATCGTCGCTGCTCGTCTTTGGCTTGGCCCCGCCGGTCGAGTTGCTCCTTTTTCCTCCAGGAGGCCGCACATCCCCGCCGCTTCCTCCGCCTCCGCCTCGAGTTTTCGACCCTCCGCTGCCTCCATTCCCTCCCGCTCCTCCCTTACCCGCCCCTGGCGCAGAAACCGGCGGTGGGCCTTTTCGCGCGCCCCCTGTGCTGCCCCCAGAGCCCCCTCCACCGCCCACACTACCCCCTGGTTTCCGCGGAGAGCCTGTGCCGCTATTGGGTTTTGGCGGGGATTTCGCTACAGATTTGGGCTTTGTCGGAGACGTAACGTTAGTCGGTCTTCCGGAACGAGTGGACGCTTTCGGTGGACTGCCCACTAAATCTTCTCGCGGTTTCATTTCAGCAGAGGCGCAAATGATGAGCAGAGATAGAGCTACTAACAGAAGGAAAGATTGCCGAGACATGACTGATATGAGCGCGTAAAACACGTGGTGCCTCTAGTTGTAGTCTAATTCCGGGGATGAAGGCTCTGGACTGGAAACCTTATTCTGTCAAGAGAAACTTCAAGCTTTGGAAAGGGATGATCACTTTTGGTGCAACCAGGAAATGGCCATTTCGATTTGTTGTTTGTGGCGCAAGCAGCCACCAACATTTGAGACAGCGAGTGTGCGACTGTATGCGAAATTTGTTGGACAGAGATTACTACGGTCGTCGGCCACTCTCAACGTTCGTACTCGTCAACGGGACTTCGCACCTTGTGTGACGACAACAGTTTCGAACCATGTACTTTCGCGTGCGGTCCGTATATTTGTAAAGGCGCCCTGGCAAAGTGCGGTGTGAACGTTTGAGATGGCATTTTGGTTCAGTGCCGCGAAGTGCGGACCATCAAACTGAGTGATGCGAGATAGGTCACAGAAGAATGCCAAAATACAACAATTTTTCCCATAATGAAAACAGAAACATGTGCTGCCTTCTACATTACAGTAGAGCCATTCATTCCAGAGACACTACTGAAAAAAAAAATGAGATTTAGTACGTTGGAACTACTGTAAGATAAACAGATCTACGTGCTAGATAGACAAACCAAACATGCCAGGGTAACAGCACTCACGTGCTTTTAACGCGCCTTCTGGTAGTAACTGCAAATACAGAGGGAAACATGTCAGTAGGGATAAACCAACTTGACAGTAACAGCATAATCCAGCAGCTTGCTAACGACCCATGTATAAATATTTGCATCCACAGCCAGATACCTGTATCATATCCGGCTTCATTGATCAGGCTCTGATAGCGACGACCTCCGCGCTGGGAATGGTTGATGCGGGGTGGGCTGAATCATCAAAGCAGTGAGAGAGGCAGTGGTTGGGGAAGGGCGGGTGACAATCCAGAAAAGTAGCTGATGGGCATACTGAACATGCTGGTTTGCAGGCATGTCTAAAGAAGGAGGAATAGCTGGGCAGACAAAAGAATATGAATGGGAGAAAATGCTTCAGGAGAAGCTGGCCAGGTCAAGAGCCATTTGGTGCTTCAGAGCTTTTTAAATGGCAACTCACCTCTAGCTTTGGCTGTAGACCGCCCTCATTGGCTGCTGGAGGCTTAACTTCGCCACCCTTTTGCTGCAATAAGACAATTGGCCGAGGAGAGGCACAAAAACACAGAATTCGTGGAGACAATGAGCCAAATCAAAGAACTAGGTATTTCTGGGAGGTGTAGCAATCTTTGATGCTCCAGAGGGGTTCAGATAAAAAGGGATAAGGTATCTGACCTTTTGAATTGCCCACTCGGCTGAGTCAAAGAAAGCTCTCTCATGACCCTGCAGGGAACGAACACCCATCATCGTATATCACAGGATAACCAGCGTAAGAAAGAGGAAATACTACGTGAGACCAAAGGACAGCGAGCACTGGACTCCAGTGACTGGAGATAAGGCAAAGAGTTAACACATGTAATTGCATTACCTTCGAAAGAAGCCCCTTTTTCTTCGGAAGCGCTCCGCCATATTTCTTCTTCAAACGCGCCTCCTACACACGTGAGGGAGTGTGGAAGGAGGATTAATGTGAAGCAAGCACGCGCAAGAATTGGGTGGTGGACCGAAGAAACGAGGGAAACGGGAAGAACCATCACCCAAGCAAACATTTTGAAACACAATTAGTGGGCTTACAATCGGCAGTCGCCCAAATTGGAAACGACTTATGTACCTGCTCTGCCATAGACAATTCTTGGTCCGCCATGGACTCCGAAATCGAAAGGCTCCAAGAGTCAGTGAAAATCCAAGATTGTAGGGCGTAGATGTGTTCAGCGCATAAATGAAACAATAACAGACGTGCAAACCGTCAAACAACGCAAGATAGCCGTCGGTCTAATCTCCGAACAGAATGTGACACCGGGCGACGTGACGTCCTTTGCGCAGGCTCCTAAATTCTTCAGCTCCAAATAACACGCTGGTCTAGGTTTCTCGAGAAACGTCAGCCACAACGGATGTTTGGAATGGAACACAGGTGGTGCTGGTGTGGAGCGACACCTGGGAACGAAGTTATGATGGTGGGAGGAGTTGGTGGGGTGGGGAGAGAGGGAAGGGGAAAAGGGTGGTGCTGCTGACGGTGTTTTTATCGCTTCCGTCGGTGAAGACGGTTGCTGATTTGTCAATTACGGCAGCCTGCCCGTTGGCGAATCGGAAAGGGGATGTAACGCGACACAACGTGGGAAACGATTGGCAGCGAAACGAATGCTGAGTTCGTCAGCTGGTGACGGGCTGACAGTTCGGCTGCGAGGAACCCTTGGGTACTGTTTGCGCTGGATACTGGGTTTCAGCGGTGATGAGCCATAACGCGTTTGACCGATTATGTGTGCACCTGTATGTACTAGTGGTACTTCCACTACCTTATTGTCAGCACAAATCGCCAATTCATATCTAACAATGCGTGAAAATCTTGGAGGATCCTAGCGGTCACCAAGCGCGTGACCGTTGGCCACATGTATGTACACAGGAAGCAGCAAACATCGAGACAAAATCTTATCGAATCAATCGTCAAAATGAACCACAAAAGTGCGAATCTCCATTGGTCCAAGCTCCACGATGAATGGCCCGTCCATGGAGTCGAATGCATCCCTCTGACCAACTCCATGGATGCAATTTGTTGACTCCACCTCCTCCTCAGTCCTCCATTTCATCGGTGGTCGCATCTTTGAGAGCTTCTGATTGGCCATCAGGCTGAGCTCAGTTACCTTCTCAATCTGTCAAGACGTGGAAGCAATGGACTTCAGTTCAGAAATGCAAAAAATACATCTTATTCACGAGCAGCAGAAAATAACTCACCTCTTGGTGCGCAAAGAGCCTGTCAAGGTCCACACGAGCAGGCCGCGAGAGAATAGGATCCTCCTCAGCCTGTGAAGGAGCAAGCCACAACAAGGCCAAAAGACGCCAGGGCAGGCAAGATAATGAGGATGGGCGATGGTTGATGTAAAGAGTGTTGGGTGAGAAGGAAGAGGGACAGCAAACAGACAAACTGGTGAAGAAGTGGGGGTTGGACCAAGTGGGGTTTGGCACTGGGAGGGCAGTGCCGGGACGGATGGAGCTTACTTGATAGAGATGGGCGAGTCGCAGCAGCACCTTGTACTCATGCACCTCCTGCAGCCAAGGTAAGGGGGAGAGAGAGAAACAAGGGGAAAGGAGGGAAGGGGCATGTGTGCGTCGTGTGAAGCGGGAAGTTGGGCACTAAAACGGGCAAGGCGCATCATGTCCCGCAGTGACCCATGAAGACAGTGCCAGCTTGTCATGGGCAACTTAGAGAGCATGACAGCACGAGGTGGTTGAACGGGTCTGGTTGTACCTCGAGTGTAATTATGGCTATGTTCTTCGGAAGCTCATACGCACACCCCTTGCTTCCCCTTTCCTCACCCTCCTGACCCTGTTCCACTTCCTCTACATCATCCTCATCGTCATCATCATCCTCCTCTTCCTCTTTCTTGTCTTCTTCATCCTCATAACCTTCCTCCACCTCCACCTCCTCTTCCCCTCTCCTACCCTCCCCAATGCTGCTAGCCTCCTTCATTGCCCGTCTCCCTTCTCTTCCAAGTGGCATTGACAGAATTGACTCTGTTGACTCCTCAGGCTTGCTCTTCTGGGTGCCAGAGAACCGCCAGGTGTACAGTCCACCCTCCGCTGCCAGGTCATCCTCATTCTGCACCAGTCAACCGCAGTCAACAGCAAAGACACCATCCATGCCCAATCAATCACCATTGCCCCACCAGTGATAGTCAACCACGGTCAACCCCAATAAGTCCCCATTAAGCCCACACAGGCAGCCAATGCCAGTCATCCGCACCCACAAGCAGCAAGACACAAACATAGCCATTAATTCACAAACAGAAACCAAACATTTGCTTATTCAGTACCGAGGTAAGCATTGTCAAGCGGGTGCAAGGAACTAAAAAAACACAAATGCTGTTTCAAGACGAGCAAAGGAGAGGGGGGGAGGGAGGGAGGAGGGGGGGATGACGTAGAGAGCATTGGAATGGGATGTGCATGCAGCTGTTTCAGCCCAGGATGAGAAGCGCCCCACATCCTTCATGCAGCATGCCACATGACCTATGGCCCATGACCCCCATGCCACAACACCCATGGGCCAAGCCACAAGGCCCCATGCGCCCACACTCCAGTGCCTCTGCCCCATGTGCACTCCCCTCAATCCACCCACCTCAACAGCAAACGCCACTTGCAGCGGAGAAAATATCCGCTGAATATTCCCGCGCCGCCACTCCGCAGCCACCTCAACCCCCTCCTCCACCCCATTCCCCGCCGCCAACCCCTCCCCGCTCCCTTCCACCCCTCCCACTCCCGCCACACCCCCATCACCCCGCCCATGCGGGTGCAGCCCAAAGCGCAGAGTCCCAGAGACCACCAGGCCCATGCATGCGGGGGGTTGCGGTTGCGCTCCCTCCTGCCCCTCCTGTCCCCCCACGCACACGCGCTCGTTGAGGGCCTCTGCCACCCCCCGGTGGTCATCATGGAGCAGGCGGCGGTGCAGCATCACCTCCACCTGCCCGTCTGTGAGGCTGGACGCGCCGCTGGGTCTGTCGACAAGCACAGAGAAGTCCGTGGTATTGTCATGCAGATAGATGCCCGCGTTCAGCTGGTGACGTAGGGTGTTGGGGAGAGGGGGTGGGAACGGGGAGAGGGAGGGACAGAACGAGGTGTGGGAGGGGTCAGGTTGTTGAAGCACTGTGGTACGGTCGGTGGGTCCACAGACTCCATGGGCACTGAGAGGGCCGCGGTGGTCGTCGTGCAGCAGGCGGCGGTGCAGCATCACCTCCACCTGCCCGTCTGTGAGGCTGGAGGCACCGCTGGGTCGGTCCACGAGCACTGAGAAGTCCGTGGCGTTGTCGTGCAGATAGATGCCCGCGTTCAGCTGGTGGCGTAGTGAGTGGTTGTGGGAGGGGTTGGAGGCGGTTGGAGAGGGTGGGAAGGGGAGGAGGAGGGGGGAGGAGAAAGGGAAGGAGGGGAGGGAGGGATGAGGTGTTAAATTACTGCTGCAACTTCCATTGAACCGGGGTCTTGAATGGTGTGGCAGGTCGGTAGCCTGGAGCCAGACACAGCAGCAAAGCCTGGATGGTCCACACATGCGCCTGCAACGCATGGGCACACATTCTCCCCACACGAGAAGGAAACTAATCCCACAGAAGGCAATCACCACGATGCAATGCACTCACAGGGTAGTAGTTCCCAGCAGCCGGCTCGGTGACAGTGAGGTTCCAGTCGGGGCGGAAGTTGCGGGCCCTCTTGATGAAATCTCAGCCGTTGATAAAAAACACATCACTCACCGGGTAGTAGTTCCCAGCAGCCGGCTCGGTGACAGTGAGGTTCCAGTCAGGGCGGAAGTTGCGCATCCTCTGGATGAAATCTCGGCCGTTGGAGTCGGTGAAAAAGGTGGCGGCGCTGGCGATGGAGGAGGAGAGGCGCAGCACCACCTCCTTGCCGAACCCATCCTCTACGGGCACCGGACCCACCTGTGATAAGAAATTAAGATTGAGGAGGCGGGCAAGCAGGCAGGGGATGAGAAGGTGCAAGGGTGAAGGTTGTGGCTCTGCTGCTGAGGGAGGAGGAGGAGAGGCATGCCACCACATCCTTTCCAAAGCTGTCGTCTATGGGCACTGGCCCCATATGGCGGGAGTAGGAAGAGGCAAGCAGGATGGAGAGGAAGGGTGTGAAGAAGATGGCAATAGGGGCAAAGGGGAATGGATGTGGCAAAACGGGCCTCAAAACGTGTCTGAACTGGAGAGCACAAGAAGTAGCGTCGCGATACAATAGACCAATGTGTTTCGGCGTGTCACTGCTTTTTCAGGCCTTACAGCATTCACTGCACCCACAGCACGCAAAGCACTTCAGGCACTCACAACAATCATATCACTCTCAGATCACTCACCGCATACTCCAGCTCTGCATAGTTGGTGCCCTTGTACACTCTCACGATCTGACTCGCACAGATGGCAGGCAGAGGGGACGGGGGGGAGAAGAGAGCAGCATGAATAGCATGGAACTGGGAACTGAGCAGCATGAATAGCAAAGAATAGCACCCCCACTTAGCGCCCCCACTTAGTGCACCCACTTAGTCCCCCACTTAGAGTCCCCACTTAGCGCCCCCACCAAGTCTTGCAAGAAGGTAACAAGCAGTATATAGTCCCTTAAGAAAGGCATGGATTCAAGCTACTTGTTATTGGCTTTTAAGCATTGCCTGATCAGGTCATGATTTGACGTCAGGTTTGAGGTGCAGGTTTGACGTCAGGTTTGAGGTGCAGGTTTGACGTCAGATTTAAGGTGCAGGTTTGAGGTGCAGGTTTGAGGTGCAGGTTTGATATGCAGGTTTGAGGTGCAGGTTTGAGGTGCAGGTTTGAGGTGCAGGTTTGAGGTGCAGGTTTGAGGTCAGGTTTGAGGTTCAGGTTTGAGGTGCAGGTTTGAGGTGCAGGTTTGAGGTGCAGGTTTGAAGTGCAGGTTTGAAGTGCAGGTAGGTGCAGGTTTGAGGTGCAGGTTTGGGTGCAGGTTTGAGGTGCAGGTTTGAGGTGCAGGTTTGAGGTGCAGGTTTGAGGTGCAAGTTTGAGGTGCAGGTTTGAGGTGCAGGTTTGAGGTGCAGGATTGACGTCAGGTTTGACGTCAGGTTTGACGTCAGGTTTGAGGTGCAGGTTTGAGGTGCAGGTTTGAGGTGCCGGTTTGAGGTGGAGGTTTGAGGTGCAGGTTTGAGGGGCACGTTTGAGGTGCAGGTTTGAGGTGCAGGTTTGATGTGCAGGTTTGAGGTGCAGGTTTGAGGTGCAGGTTTGAGGTGCAGGTTTGAGGTCAGGTTTGACATCAGGTTTGAGGTGCAGGTTTGAGGTGCAGGTTTGAGGTGCAGGTTTGAGGTGCAGGTTTGAGGTGCAGGTTTGAGGTGCAGGTTTGAGGTGCAGGTTTGAGGTGCAGGTTTGAGGTGCAGGTTTGAGGTGCAGGTTTGAGGTGCAGGTTTGAGGTGCAGGTTTGAGGTAAGGTTTGAGGTCAGGTTTGAGGTGCAGGTTTGAGGTGCAGGTTTGAGGTGCAGGTTTGAGGTGCAGGTTTGAGGTGCAGGATTGACGTCAGGTTTGACGTCAGGTTTGACGTCAGGTTTGAGGTGCAGGTTTGAAGTGCAGGTTTGAGGTGCCGGTTTGAGGTGGAGGTTTGAGGTGCAGGCAGGTTTGAGGTGCAGGTTTGAGGTGCAGGTTTGAGGTGCAGGTTTGACGTCAGGTTTGACATCAGGTTTGAGGTGCAGGTTTGAGGTGCAGGTTTGAGGTCAGGTTTCAGGTCAGGTTTGAGGTGCAGGTTTGAGGTGCAGGTTTGAGGTGCAGGTTTGAGGTGCAGGTTTGAGGTGCAGGTTTGAGGTGCAGGTTTGAGATGCAGGTTTGAGGTGCAAGTTTGAGGTGCAGGTTTGAGGTGCAGGTTTGAGGTGCAGGTTTGACGTCATGTTTGACGTCAGGTTTGCGGTGCAGGTTTGAGGTGCAGGTTTGACGACTGGTTTGACTTCAGGTTTGAGGTGCAGGTTTGACGTCAGGTTTGAGGCGCAGGTTTGAGGTGCAGGTTTGAGGTGCAGGTTTGAGGTGAAGGTTGGAGGTGCAGGTTTGAGGTGCAGGTTTGAGGTGCAGGTTTGAGGTGCAGGTTTGAGGTGCAGGTTTGAGGTGCAGGTTTGAGGTCAGGTTTGACGTCAGATTTAACGTCAGGTTTGACGTCAGGTTTGAGGTGCAGGTTTGAGGTGCAGGTTTGACGTCAGGTTTGAGGTGCAGGTTTGAGGTGCAGGTTTGAGGTGCAGGTTTGAGGTGCAGGTTTGAGGTGCAGGTTTGAGGTGCAGGTTTGATGTCAGGATTGACGTCAGGTTTAACGTCAGGTTTGACGTCAGGTTTGAGGTGCAGGTTTGAGGTGCATGTTTGACGTCAGGTTTGAGGTGCAGGTTTGAGGTGCAGGTTTGAGGTGCAGGCAGGTTTGAGGTGCAGGTTTGAGGTGCAGGTTTGAGGTGCAGGTTTGAGGTGCAGGTTTGAGGTGCAGGTTTGAGGTGCAGGTTTGAGGTCAGGTTTCAGGTCAGGTTTGAGGTGCAGGTTTGAGGTGCAGGTTTGAGGTGCAGGTTTGAGGTGCAGGTTTGAGGTGCAGGTTTGAGGTGCAGGTTTGAGATGCAGGTTTGAGGTGCAAGTTTGAGGTGCAGGTTTGAGGTGCAGGTTTGAGGTGCAGGTTTGACGTCATGTTTGACGTCAGGTTTGCGGTGCAGGTTTGAGGTGCAGGTTTGACGACTGGTTTGACTTCAGGTTTGAGGTGCAGGTTTGACGTCAGGTTTGAGGCGCAGGTTTGAGGTGCAGGTTTGAGGTGCAGGTTTGAGGTGAAGGTTGGAGGTGCAGGTTTGAGGTGCAGGTTTGAGGTGCAGGTTTGAGGTGCAGGTTTGAGGTGCAGGTTTGAGGTGCAGGTTTGAGGTGCAGGTTTGAGGTCAGGTTTGACGTCAGATTTAACGTCAGGTTTGACGTCAGGTTTGAGGTGCAGGTTTGAGGTGCAGGTTTGACGTCAGGTTTGAGGTGCAGGTTTGAGGTGCAGGTTTGAGGTGCAGGTTTGAGGTGCAGGTTTGAGGTGCAGGTTTGAGGTGCAGGTTTGACGTCAGGATTGACGTCAGGTTTAACGTCAGGTTTGACGTCAGGTTTGAGGTGCAGGTTTGAGGTGCATGTTTGACGTCAGGTTTGAGGTGCAGGTTTGAGGTGCAGGTTTGAGGTGCAGGTTTGAGGTGCAGGTTTGAGGTGCAGGTTTGAGGTGCAGGTTTGAGGTGCAGGTTTGAGGTGCAGGTTTGAGGTGCAGGTTTGAGGTCAGGTTTGAGGTCAGGTTTTCCGTCAGGTTTGAGGTCAGGTTTGACGTCAGGTTTGAGGTGCAGGTTTGAGGTCAGGTTTGAGGTGCAGGTTTGAGGTGCAGGTTTGAGGTGCAGGTTTGAGGTGCAGGTTTGAGGTGCAGGTTTGACGTCAGGTTTGAGGTGCAGGTTTGAGGTGCAGGTTTGAGGTGCAGGTTTGAGGTGCAGGTTTGAGGTGCAGGTTTGAGGTGCAGGTTTGAGGTGCAGGTGTGAGGTGCAGGTTTGAGGTGCAGGTTTGAGGTGCAGGTTTGACGTCAGGTTTGAGGTCAGGTTTGACGTCAGGTTTGAGGTGCAGGTTTGAGGTGCAGGTTTGAGGTGCAGGTTTGGGGTGCAGGTTTGAGGTGCAGGTTTGAGGTGCAGGTTTGAGGTGCAGGTTTGAGGTGCAGGTTTGAGGTGCAGGTTTGAGGTGCAGGTTTGAGGTCAGGTTTGAGGTGCAGGTTTGAGGTGCAGGTTTGAGGTGCAGGTTTGAGGTGCAGGTTTGAGGTGCAGGTTTGAGGTGCAGGTTTGAGGTCAGGTTTGAGGTCAGGTTTGAGGTGCAGGTTTGAGGTGCAGGTTTGAGGTGCAGGTTTGAGGTGCAGGTTTGAGGTGCAGGTTTGAGGTGCAGGTTTGAGGTGCAGGTTTGAGGTGCAGGTGTGAGGTGCAGGTTTGAGGTGCAGGTTTGAGGTGCAGGTTTGACGTCAGGTTTGAGGTCAGGTTTGACGTCAGGTTTGAGGTGCAGGTTTGAGGTGCAGGTTTGAGGTGCAGGTTTGGGGTGCAGGTTTGAGGTGCAGGTTTGACTTGCAGGTTTGAGGTGCAGGTTTGAGGTGCAGGTTTGAGGTGCAGGTTTGAGGTCAGGTTTGAGGTGCAGGTTTGAGGTGCAGGTTTGAGGTGCAGGTTTGAGGTGCAGATTTGAGGTGCAGGTTTGAGGTGCAGGTTTGAGGTGCAGGTTTGAGGTGCAGGTTTGAGGTGCAGGTTTGAGGTGCAGGTTTGAGGTCAGGTTTGACGCCACGTCAGGTTTGAGGTCAGGTTTGACACCAGGTTTGACGTCAGGTTTGACGTCAGGTTTGAGGTCAGGTTTGAGGTCAGGTTTGACGTCAGGTTTGATGTCAGGTTTGAGGTCAGGTTTGACGTCAGGTTTGACGTCAGGTTTGATGTCAGGTTTGAGGTCAGGTTTGACACCAGGTTTGACGTCAGGTTTGAGGTCAGGTTTGAGGTCAGGTTTGACGTCAGGTTTGAGGTCAGGTTTGAGGTCAGGTTTGACGTCAGGTTTAATGTCAGGTTTGGCCACTTAGCGGCCTCACTTAGCGCCCCCACTTAGCGCCCCCAATTAGCACCATCACTTAGCGCCCCCACTGATGGAGAGGAATTGACAGGGACAGGGAGGATCAAAGAGGTTTAGACAGTAGGACGGGCGAAGCAAGGACAAAGTGGTAAAAGTTGAGTTTTGAGACGTCTCTAAACTCAACTTTAAACACGAAGTGGGGGATCCGAATTCCTCTATTTCCATCCCCTGCCTCCCCGCCCGCACCCCTCCCTCTCTCACCGCATAGATCCAGGGCGCCACCTGCCTTTGAGGTGCCTGAAAAAAAAACCCTTCTCCCCACTCTTCCCCCCTCTCCGCCTTTCCTACCTCTCCTCGTGGATCCAGGGCGCCACCTGGCAGTGCACCTCATGCCACATGCCTTTGAGGCGCGTCATAAACAGACCCCCATCCCCTCCTCCCCCCTCACCTCGTGGATCCAGGGCGCCACCTGGCAGTGCACCTCATGCCACATGCCTTTGAGGCGCGTCATAAACAGACCCCCATCCCCTCCTCCCCCCTCACCTCGTGGATCCAGGGCGCCACCTGGCAGTGCACCTCATGCCACATGCCTTTGAGGCGCGTCATAAACAGACCCCCATCCCCTCCTCCCCCCTCACCTCGTGGATCCAGGGCGCCACCTGGCAGTGCACCTCATGCCACATGCCTTTGAGGCGCGTCATAAACAGACCCCCATCCCCTCCTCCCCCCTCACCTCGTGGATCCAGGGCGCCACCTGGCAGTGCACCTCATGCCACATGCCTTTGAGGCGCGTCATAAACAGACCCCCATCCCCTCCTCCCCCCTCACCTCGTGGATCCAGGGCGCCACCTGGCGATGCACCTCGTCCACCAGTGCCCCTCGCACCACCCGCACTGATGCCTGGAGGGGCAGGGGCGGGTAGGGATGAAGCAAAGAGAAGAGAAGTGACGAGAGAGCAGAGATGCGATCGTTGAGGTGCTTGCGGCGCGGCGGCCATACATGCCCACCTGGCGATGCACCTCGTCCACCAGAGCACCCCGCACCACCCGCACCGATGCCTGGAGGAGGGAGAGGTAGAAAGAGAGAGAAGCAATGAGAGAGAGAGCAACGATAGGATCCTTGAGGCGCTTAACGCGCCTCAGAACATGCCCACCTGGCGATGCACCTCGTCCACCAGCGCACCCCGCACCACCCGCACCGATGCCTGAGTGTATACATGGGCAACGAGTGTAGGGTTTTTGCTCGACTCGTTCGAAATGCTCGTTGGGGGACGAGTGACGAGCCTGACTTTTTGGGAAAAAAACTCGCCCGAGGCGAGGCGAGTTTTACTCGACGAGTTTTATCTACTCGTCGCATGCTCGCCTTGGGGGACGAGCATTTTCGTGGAGATTACGTGCTCGACGAGTTTTTTTTACTCGCGGGCGATTTCGCCCGTCAATCCGCGCGGGTCGGCGATTTCGCCCGTCAATCCGCGCGGATCGGCGATTTCGCCCGTCAATCCGCGCGGATCGGTGATTTCGCCCGTCAATCCGCGGGGTTCGCCGGCAACTGCGCTGCGGAGTCTGCCACTGGTCGTGTCAATCACTACGCTCAGATCTCTCTTTTGGTCGAGCAAAACGAATATGCCTTTCCAACTAAATTGCCACTTGATTTCCCAACCAATTCGCCACCACTTACCTCTCTTCACCGCACTGAATCTACAAAACCCAACCACCAGATCCAGATTCAAGATCCAGATTCAGATCCCGTCACTTCAGAAAGCCACATCGTTCCTTGCGCTTGCCAGCCTATGGTCCATCACACAACCTCCTTCCCTCCCCCGCTAGTCTACTCCAATAATCCCCACTTAGCTAGCTGGACGCGTCCGTGGTAACTTAGTGCTTGCGAGTGGCGAGTCGAGCATGTCTTGTGCTCGGACGAGCTTTCCCCTAAACTCGCCCGAGCATGCCCTAAAACGACGAGTCCCGAGTATGCAAAATTTTGAAAATTGCTCGTCAGAGTTTTGCTCGACTCGGAGCAAAAGCTCGTCGAGCAAGACCATGGACGAGTCGAGTATTGCTCGACTCGTCACTTTGACCATGTATACCTGAGTGCACAGGGAGAGGCGTAGGGCTCAGAGAAGCAATGACAGACAAAGGATGTGAGCTCTGGGCTGGTAGGGGAGTGCAGGAAGAAGTGAGCAGGGGGAAGACAGCTGGGGAAAGAGGGCTAGGGGGGAGAGGGAGCAGGTATGCAGGAGCATACCGCAGTGGCGTTGGGCGGGGTGATGGGCACAGGGTCAGAGGAGACGGGGCGGAAGATGTACGCCCCTGATGCCTCCCTGCTCGCCTTGCCGTCACTCGCATTGTACCACGCCCACTCCACCCCCACATCCGCTGCTGCTGCTGCCACTGATGCTCCTGCCGCTTGCCCCTCGCCCCTCGTCAGCAGCACAGCACGAGTCATCCTGCCCCCCTGAGCCCTGGAGAAAGAGAGAGTCAGCGCACCGCTGCCACTGCTGCTGCCCTCATCCCGCTCTCCTTCCGCCCACCCGCCAATCACTATCTCATCCTCCTCCTCTTCTCCAACCTCCTGCATCACCTTCCCCTCTTCCTTCCGCCCCTCCACCACTCTCCCTTCCATGCTACCCTCCTGCTCCACACCCTCATCTCCTGCTGTCTCCTGCCCCACCCTTTCCTCAACTCCACCCTGCCCCTTGACCTCAGGATATTTATACAGCACGAAGTACGAGGCAACACCTAGGGGAGGCGCATCTGCCCAGAACACCAGCGACAGTGCTTCCGAGCCTGCAACACCAGGCTCGGCACCAGCTGCAGCATTAGGTTCGGCATTAGCTCCGGTGGCCGGCCCAGAATTTGGTTCGGCATCAGGTCCGGCGTAGGCTTGGATGAGGAAGGAACGGGTGGAGGGGAGGAGGAGGGTGTCTGGCAGGACTTGGGAGGAAATAATGGCCCCGCTGGCATTCATTACTTCCACGTCAGCAGTTGACACCTGGCCAAAGCAGGCGTGCAGTAAGAGGAGAAATCAAGAGAGGAGAAAGGAGAAGAGGAGAGGAGAGAAGGGACCAGGGGGAGAAGAAAAAAAACAAAAGAGACGGTGAGAAGGGGGAAAGAGAAGAGACTACAAATGGAGCTGGCGAAACAGCCCGGTTGTGAGGAGGTGGAAAGAGTGGAAGCAGTGTGCGAGACATGGGGCGAAGAGGGCCCAGGGAGGGTGATGGTGGCTTACAGGGAATCGGACGATCTCCTTGCGAGCCCATGCCAGTGGGTTGTACACCGCTACCACCTGGTGCATGCATTCAGCACAGCACAGGTCGGCAGAATGCATCACATCACAGGGCAGCAACAGGCATCACACGTAGCATTAGAATGCGTCATGATTGCAAGGCAATGAGTCAAGGCGTTGCAATGAGAAGCAGCAACGATGCGATCCACAACTCACCAGGACTTTCCCGTCCTGAAGATCCGTTTGTGAAGGTGGGCAGAATGAGATGTTGGCCAGTGGGCACTGGGGCAAGAAAGAGAGTGAAAGACCAGCACAAGGGAGCAAAGGGGAAAGCCAGCCTGGCCATGTTAAGACAATATTGCGAGTCAGCAAGCGAGCTAGAAACGAATAGAAAGACAGATGAAATCTTGAAAACGAGTCTGCGGGGAAACGCTGCACTGACCAGCTCAAAGCTGAGCCTCAGATTGGGACTGCTCCTGCCCGTTTGCCCCCCTGATGATGCTGCTGCTGCTGCTGCTGCTGCTGTTGCTGCTGTTGCTGCTGTTGCTGCTGTTGCACCCCGTTTCGTAAGAGCCCGCATGAGTGGCGAGGTGGGGGTCGGGATGGGCTGGGAGCGTGGCATCTGCTGCAGGTGAGACTGGGCCTGCCACGTGTCAGCATCTGACTGGCGAGAGATCATGTAACGAATCGCCCGTGTGAGCAGAGAGGAGGCCTGGGAAGCCACAAATAGGTGGGGATTGGGGAGACGTAACGGGTGGGGGGGGTGGGGGTCCATGGGTGAGCAAGGGTGCAACTGGACATGCTCTCTACAACACAAAACTGAGCTGATGCTTGTGAGCGATTCGATTCTGATTCCGGCTCAGTTTTTGAAGTGAGACATTGCAAGGATGACACGATTGAAGCGGCACCAAGCGGATTCAAGACGTGGAGGCATCGCAATGAGACAATGTGTGCCTCAGAGAGAATATTAGATGCTCTGTCACGGCCTGCTGTGATCATCACAAGGGGCTCCGATGACAAGAAATTCACTCATCCCTGGCAACATCCAATAGCAATGCTATGACTCATCCGACCTACACAAACACCAGAAGACCTATGGTGGCATGAAAAGTCGAGCTGATACGTGCTATGCACTCAGCACATAAATGCATTTGATGAGTTATATTGTGCCCAACACGTGCATGTGCCATGTAGCATGCCTCAGAGAGAAGATTAGATGCTCTGTCATGCCCCCCAGTGATCATCACAGGGGGTTCCGATGACAAGAAATTCACTCATCCCTGGCAACATCTCTCCACCTGCTATGACTCATCGGACACCTATCATATGCTCAATGCATGCATGTGCCACGTGGCATGCCTCAGAGAGAAGATTAGATGCTCGGTCCCGGCCCCCTGTGATCACCACAAGGGGCTCCGATGACAAGAAATCCACTCATCCCTGGCAGCGGCACCGGCATTTCTTGCTACTATTGCGTGCATCATTTGATCCGTCCCATACATCCACAGTGCAGCTATGTCACATGTCATGCGCAACACGCTACGCGGGTGGGTGGTGAGTGGAGCGGACATATGCCACCGCGGAGATGATGTGACATGAATGTGGAGTGGCACGTGTACAATGTGCCTCAGTGAAAAGATTAGATGTGTTTTGAGTTGACTCAAAACACGACTCAAAACATGAGTCGACTCAACGCCGCCGGGGAGATGATGTGACATGAATGTGGAGTGGCAGGTGTACAATGCGCCTCAGAGAGAAGATTAGATGCTCTGTCACGGCCCCCTGAGAGCATGAGCTCACAGGGGGCTCCGATGACAAGAAATTCGCTCATCCCCGGCAGCAGTGCAAGCAGCTAACACCCCACTGACGCAACACAGCCCTTCCAGCAGAGCCATGCAGACCCACACGAGGTCTGGCTGCAGTGTGCGTACAGCTATCATGAGCAAGCAAGCCAGACCACGCGCGGAGATTGAGGCGCCTCACGTGAACAGAAGCAGAAAAAGCATGACCGTGGATATTTGGAGTGGCGAGTGGGCGGCACAGATGCCTCAGAGGGGATATAAGGGTCTGTCATGGCCCCTCATGGGGGCTCCGATGACAAGAAATTCACTCATCAATGGCAGTGCAGCACAGCCCTTGCTACCGAGACAGAAATGCACATCACACTGACGTTTGAATACCACTCCACAGAAATGCATAAGCATATCACAGCAGATTAAGAGACCTAGTTAGAGCACCGGGCCGGGCGAGGCTATATGACACCAAGAAGTGACTGACAAACACACCCCTTTCACCAAAGCCCAGCAAAAGCACACGAGGCCCGGATGATGCGCATAGGCAATACCACCGAACAAGAGAAACAGGAACACGTTTCGACAGCGGGCAGCCCGGTGGCAACGATGCCTCAGAGAGAAGATTAGATGCTCTGTCATGCCCCCCTGTGATCGCCACAGGGGGCTCCGATGACAAGAAATTCACTCATCCCTGGCAGTGGTACTGGCCTTTTCACTAACAGCACCCACTTGACTTCACGCTTCCTTGCTTCCACTCAACAGCTCGACAGGGCCACACAAGAGGACAGGAAAGCACAGACGGGATTCAAGACAAGCATGCATGATTGAGTCTCCCCACGCTCACCTTGACAGCCCCGCGGTAGAGCCGGATCGTGCAGTCGTCGTTGACGTGCTGCTTGGCCGTGCCGCTCACCCAATCAATCTCCGAGGCAGGTCAAAAGCAGTCCAGTCCCCCCATCCTCACCTTGACAGCCCCGCGGTAGAGCCTGATGGTGTAGTCGTCATTGACGTGCTGCTTGGCTGTGCCGCTCACCGAGTCGTGGTGCTGTGCCACCGCCATCGCCTCCTCCAACTCCTCCACCCCCCACTCCCGCCCCTCCCCTCCCACACCCGCCTCCTCCACTCCTCTCCCCAGCCTGCTGCCCCCCACCAGGGCCTCCACTTGCCTGGCAGCCTGCCACGCAGGAAGGTTGGGCGGGGGAGGAGGTGGACGAGGGCCAGGGAAGGAGAGAACGATTGGGAACGAAAGGGAGATGCGCAGGACAAGTCGAGTGAGCGTTTGAGATGCAAGCCTCGACCTCGCAGCAACGGCATGTCTTATCAAGTGCAAGAACAAACGAGCCAGTCCAAGGAAAGGAGAGAACATGCCAGGGATGGTCGACAGGGGGCACGCGCATGCACGAGTGAGTGGGAGGGGGCAGGGGGGGGCTGGGGAGGGCAGGGGGGGCAGGGGGCGGGGCGTACGAGGAGCAGCGCGCTGCAGTGGCGCACGTAGTGACTTTTGAGTCTACTCAAAGTAGCCTAACGAGCACGAATGAGTGGGAGGGGACAAGGGCGGGTAGGGGCGGGCAGAGGCGGGCAAGGGGGGCCAGGGGCGGGGCGTACGAGGAGCAGAGCGCTGCACTGTCGCACGTAGCGCTTGAAGGCGGGGCGGGAGGAGAAGTACCCCGTCCAGTAGCAGTGCGGACAGTCCGCATAGCTGCAGACAGGGTAGGGGGGACCAAGGGCGGGGATGGTGGAGAGAAAGTGCAGGGTGGGAGGAATGGAGGGGACGAGGGGAGAGAAACATTTGAAGGGGGGGCGGCTGGAGAAGTACCCCGTCCAGTAGCAGTGCGGACAGTCCGCATAGCTGCAGGAAAGGCAGGGGGAAACCGGAGGGGCCTCAGGAACAGGGGGAGAGAAAAACAAATGAAGAGACAGATAAAGTATCTAGTCACTGAAATGATTTTACAGAGCAGCAAGAGAAGCAGGCAAAGCGAGGGTGGAGAGGGGGGGTGGAGGGGGGAAGGGGGGGGGGTCACTGAAAGGTTCGAGACAGTACGAGTTCTTGGGGGGAGGTGAGGAAAGAACGGGGGAGGGAGAGAATGGCTCACGGGAAGAAGTCTCCGGTCTTAACAGGCCAGGACTCGTTGGCCCGGTGCTTGGCGTTCACGTAGATGGAGGGCGTGGAGTAGAATGCGTTCACACGGGGGGGGAGGTGGGGGGGTAAAGGGTTGGGCGAAGGGGCTTACGGGAAGAAGTCACCCGTTTTGACGGGCCAGGACTCGTTGGCGCGGTGCTTGGAGTCCACGTAGATGGAGGGCGTGGAGTAGAATGCATTCACACGCCCATCACGGTTGACGTAGTGAATGAGCTTGTCCATGTTGCGGAACCACGTCACCGCGTTGCTGTACGCAAAGTCGTCGCCCATCGTCCACATGATGTGGTTTGTACGGTAGCTCTCTGCCTGGTGGTGTGGTGGTGCATGGGGGAATAGAGGGGGTGTGCATGGGGTGCACGGGAAGGGGGGTGCACGGGCGGAGGTACACGTGGGGGGGAGGGAGGGGGGTGCATGGGATGGGGTGAATGAAATGGGGTGCACTGCCGTCCTGGTTGACATAGTGAATGAGCTTGTCGTCGCCCATCGTCCACATGATGTGGTTCGTGCGGTAGCTCTTCGCCTGGTGGGGTGGTGCATGGGGTGGGGTGTGGTGCATGGGTATGGTGAATCGGATGCGTTAAATCGGATGTGTTACATGAGACGCCTTACACAGGATGTGTCAGAGCAGCACGCACCAAGCATGCACATGGATATCAACACGTGCTGCATGCACAGAGCAGCACGGACAACGCATGCACCATGCAATCCTTCACCCGTCTCCTTTCTCCCTATTCCCCCCCACCAGTTCCCCATCCCACGGCCATCCCTCCCCGCCCCCAACCCTGCTCCCAACCCCGTCCCCAACCCCGCTCCCAACCCTGCCCCCAACCCCACCCTTAGCGTTACCCCCAAACCCCCCCCCTCGACCCACCCTCCTCTCTTTTCTGCGTTGCCCCTCCCCTCCCACCTGTTTGAGTGCAGTTTCCACGAACTTGTCTACCCTCTCCTGCACGTTGTAGTCATATAGCTCCGGGTCGTCCTGCCCGGGGGAGGTGGGTGGGGGGATGAACACAACACAATCAGCGTCCCACGGATCACATCAGAACGAGACGTCCAGTCCACCCACGAGAGCGATGACACAACCAGCGTCACACTCCCGGGCTACCACAGCCAACAGCCAGCACGGCGCGCGCCCTCTCACTCTCATCTCACCTGCACGGGCGGGTCCCAGTTGTTGGTGTCGTAGCGGAACGAGCCAAGGCAGGGATGGGATGAGCACGAGACGAGTGGTACACCCACTTACAACCACCATCACACTCCCAGAGTCCAGACTGCCACAGCCAACAGCCAGCACGGCCCTCCGCCTCTCACCTGCACGGGCGGGTCCCAGTTGTTGGTGTCGTAGCGGAACGAGTCGGGCGGCAGGTAGTGCACGTACAGCCGCCCGCCGAACACCTCCGCGCGCTGCTGCAGCGTGTCGGACGCGCGCCACACGAACTCCGCCGTGCGCGCGCCGTACCGCGCCTCGCTGTCCTCGTAGTCCGCGCGCGCGAAGAACACCGCGTCGAACCCGCCCTGTTGATGGAGACGGGGGGGGTGGGGGGGTAAAGGGCGAAATAAAACAGTGCAACGGTGCAACGGTGCTGTCCTCGTAGTCCGCGCGCGCAAAGAACACCGCGTCGAACCCACCCTGATGGGCGGGTTGATGGAGACGGGGGGAGCCGGGGAGAGAGGGCGATGTGTTTCCCTGTCGAGTCATGCTGCACCAAGCAGTAACCAGGAGAACCAAGAAGCACCCAGCAGCATCCAGCTGCACCCAACAAAACCCAGCAGCACCCAGCAGCACCCAGCAGCACCCAGCAGCACCGAGCAGCACGCACCATGGCGGAGATGAGGTAGCCCTGCACGGCGGAGTGGCCGAAGGGGTCGATCTGCCAGGCGATGCGCGGCACCTGGCCGAACTGGCGGCGGATGAGGCGCAGCCCCAGCGACATCTGATGCACCATGTCCGTGTAATGCGTCGCCGCCTCGTCGTGCATGCACCACCCGCCGTTGCTGCGGAAATGAGGGACGGGAAGGGGCATGGGAGGAGGGAGTGTGGGGAGAGGAGAGGATGAGGCGCAGCCCCAGCGACATCTGGTGCACCATGTCCGTGTAGTGCGTCGCCGCCTCATCGTGCATGCACCACCCGCCGTTGCTGCAAGACGTGCGAGGGAGGGAGGCATGTGAAAGAGGCGACACAGGAACTAGCGTCATCACTCGGATTCAACTGTCTGGTGTCAATCGGACGGCATCACCTTCAATTCCAAACGTCTGCAGACAGAAGTGCTCCTCAAATCGCTGACATACGCCATTGTTGAAATCACAGCATTCATCCTCCCCCAACATCGCCGTCAGCAGACCACATCTTACATCCCTTCACGGCATATCCCCTGCTCCCGTAATAGAGCTCCGACATTTCCGTAGACACTTACGTGAATTCCAGTTGACCGTTCTTGACCAATCGCCTGACGACACGTTGCACGTCCTTGGGTTGGCGGCGCCACCAGCGCTGGAAGAAGGCCTGCTCCACCTGAATGAACTTCCTGTTGGGGTCCTCGCTCAGCTGCTCCACCACTGTATCGAGTATGTACTGTACTGCAGCAACCTGAAACAGATTAGCGGATCGTTTTCATAGATGAGCGTTAGCATCTGGTTATTGATCCAATTCCTCGTGAATTCGCCTGAAAGCCCGGGAAAAACAATAATTACTCAAGAAAACTATCAGATCTACAGCGATTCGAGTGCACGGATGTCCACGTCAACTCACCTGAATGGAGTTGTTCGACCCGATATAGTACTGATCGACGGTTTTAAGCCACCCCACGTCATCGTGCGAATGCGCGACGAGGTGCACGTTAAGCTTCCCCTCCACGGGACCAGCCCGCGTGTTGTACCTCCCAGGCCTCCCCCTGCCTTCGCCATGATCACCATGATCGTGATGGTGATGACGGTGATGGTGATGGTGATGGTGATGGTGGTGACGTCTCTCACGGTGCTCCTGGCCAGCACTAGCGGCCGTGATACAAGCGTTCCCGATCAAAGCTGCTAGTATGAGGGATGCTAAAAGGAAATGCGAACGCAAAGCGGATCTTGAAAAATGATCCATGGCCAACAATGACGGAGCGCCTGAACGGAATCTGGCAATTCCTTGGCTTTCCGTCCAACCCCACGAGAAACCAGCAACTGCCTGAGACTGACAGAATCCTGCCAGGATCCGGCGGACGAAAAACAGCACCGAGAGCAAGACGTTCACAGCTGCTGAAAACAGCAAAATGGCAAGATGTACACACAAGAGGATGGTGCAGGAGAAATATGAAATTCAGGTCAGAAGAATCTGAAGGTGAGCAGCCATAAAGCAGCTTTCCACCGCGGAGAACGCTTTTTGGCTGACAGCGGTTGGATGGAAATCGGGGCGAAGGGGATTGCTATGGCCATGTCAGCTCGCCCAACTCAGGTTGGGTGGAGGCCACGTGGTCCGACCTGTTCATTATCCAATCTCTCAGCAGACAATGACAACAAGTCTGATAAAAATATGTACAGACTTTTGCAGCACTGTACTTTCCAAGCTGAAATTGCACTAACGGGGTAATGGAAAACAGAACTATGCGAGTGAAGCCATGAGCGAGGAAACGAGATTGGTAACGCGCGAAATCCCGTACCTGCAGCACTACAGTAGTGGCGCCAAGGCATCAGCTATTACCAAAGCAAACGATTTATTATACGCTGATCTCTTGGCAGCGATTCCAAGCACGGGACAGCGGCCATTCTTCGCAGCAGCGTGTCGAAGTAGTATTGCTATTGTAACCCCCGCCACCCCGTAGGCTTACGACGGGGTGACTATTCCCGTTGCCTCTGCGCTTGCCGTCTTCGCACGCCGCTAATCGCTCTTACACTCTAATGCCCTCGTCGGATCTTGCAACGTAACGAGCCTCGTCTGCTGCGGGATTCACTTTCGCGAATTTCGCGTGTCATCGTTACTGAGTGACCCGTCGAGCGCTCGTCGCCTCGTCCGTCGGCGCCATGCAGAAGGCATCGCGACCGGGCGACGCGGGCATGTCGAGCATGGAGCGAGTGGTGCGTGGCCGCAGAGTACCTAGTATGCCCGCACACCTAATCTTCCTAATCTTTTTATACAACAGCAGTTGTCCCTAATGTCACCCATTCCCTGACCTAGCTTTCTGAATTCCGCCTATCGTCCCCGTTTCCGATGTGCTCTCCACATGTGAAGTTATGTCGACGCCACGTCATAACCGCAATACTCCATAGTACCTTGTCGATATGCTGAGAGCCATGCTGTTGCACTGCCACGTGTCCCATTCCCATTGACCAGAACGCGGAGCTGTTCACGCTGACGTACGGCGCCATGGTGCGACAGCTGCTGACGGACCTCGAGGATATCGAGGAGGTCAACAAGCAGCTCGACGCCATGTGAGTCGTGTGCTGTGCGGTGCTGTGCAATGACAGGGGGTGCAGTAAGACGCTGTGTGGTGCTGGGCGGTGCTGCGGTGTGGTTAAGGCCATGGCGCCACATGTGCTGTGCTGTGCTTTGTGTTCTGGAAACCACACGTGCAGTCTGATTAGGGTTTGCGCTCTCTGCTTTCTCCCCCACCCCAACCCATCGCTTCATGTGTGTGGTTGCATCCTCTGTGAATCTGTGATTGCATTTCATCCTTTTGTGTGGTGGTGGTGCTGGTTACCACATGTCCTGCAGGGGTTACAACATCGGTGTGCGGCTGATAGACGAGTTCCTCTCCAAGGCCAACGTCACCCGCTGCTCCGACTTCAAGGAGACCGCTGACATCATCGCCAAGGTGAGACATCATCTCCAAGGTGAGACATCATCTCCAAGGTGAGACATTGTGGGCCAAGGTCAGATTTATTCGCCAATGTCTGGCATTCTGTGCCAAGTTGGCTATTTTATGTCGAGGTCAAGGTGAGGTATGGCAGGCACCGTTGAAGGTAAGTTGAATTCCCCCCATGCTGTGTTTTTCATCATCTGCTGACCCCGTCCCTTGCGCTGCCCCCATCGCCCTCCCTCCTATCACCATGCGCCCCTCAACCCCCTCCCTGCCATTGCCGATCCGTCATCTCCTCCGCACACCCAACACTCTCCCAGCTGGGCTTCAAGATGTTTCTGGGCATGACAGCAACAGTGGCCAACTGGAACGCGGAGGCCAGTGAGTCCATTCTGGTGCTAACTTTACCTCCCTCCCTCCTCCCTCCCCCAACCCCCTTTTTCCACCTTCTCCAGCTGGGCTTCAAGATGTTTCTGGGTGTGACAGCAACGGTGACCAACTGGAACGCGGAGGGCAACGAGTGCAGCCTGGTGTTGGACGACAACCCGCTGGTCGACTTTGTCGAGCTGCCTGAGTCCTGCTCCTCGCTTGTCTACTGCAACCTTCTCTGTGGCGTCATCAGGGGGGCGCTGGAGCAGGTACTAGTGTGGGAACACTGAGGGTGTGACAGGTGTGGTATGCGACTGCGGAGGGCAACGAGTGCAGCCTCGTGTTGGACGACAACCCGCTGGTCGACTTTGTCGAGCTGCCTGAGTCTTGCAGCTCGCTCGTCTATTGCAACCTTCTCTGTAGCGTCATCAGAGGGGCGCTGGAGCAGGTAAGAATGTTTAACAGGTGTTGTGTGCGACTTTAGGGCAGTTGTGCGGGCGCTTTGCAGTTCTCTCATGCTTTTGATGTTATCACAAGCCTTTCTTGCTACCATCTTGTTCGTGTGCTTGCAGGTGTCACTGCGAGTGGAGGTGAAGTTTGTTCGCGACATGCTGCGGGGAGACGATGCGTTTGAGATGCGTGTGAAGCTCATAGAGCAGATGGCTGAGGTGTACCCCTTCAAGGATGCCGACTAGCATCGCACTGCACCGCATTGACCACGTTGTTACTGGGTTACAGCAACCTTCACCATTACAATACATCTTCTGCACAAGTTTGCAGTTGTTACCGTATGTCCGGCTTCAATCATTCTCCAATGTGTAAAATATATGAATACGTAGCTTACAATACAATAATCAAGTTTCTATGCTTGGGATTCAGCAGGTGCTGCTTCCAGTGCTTCCATTACACTGGCCACCCAGCTGCACAGAGAGACAGCGAGGGGAGGGACGAAGAGCCAGAAGAGGAACAAGGGAATGTTATGAGACGACTACGGTACTAGGGCTGATATTCGTAACAGGGGAGAGAGAGATGAATGAGAGACCAAGAGCGTATTCCTACACCTCGTATCAAGCGAACCTCATATCAGGCTCCCACTGAAAATTCTCCTAAACCCAAAACCTCTCGCTTGTTTTACCAGGCAAGTCTGATACGAGGTTGCTTGATATGAGGCGTAGGAATACGCTCTAAGGCATGTTCCTAAACGCGCTTACCTTTCAATTCCAGGACTATCTGGTGCAAACACCCTCTTGATTCCTGCTTTTCTCGCAGCCTCAGCGGACGTTCCCCCAATGCATGCTGCAGCTCCATCCCACTGCGTGCGCGATGCCACCACCTCCATCCACGCCCTGGAGTGAGGGGTGCGGGGCGGGGAGGGTAAAGGATAGAAGGGAGAGTTTTGAGACGTCTTAAAAGTCAGCTCCGTCCCACTGTGTGCGCGATGCCACCACCTCCATCCATGCCCTGCGGCGAGGGGGGAGGGGCAAGGGGCAGGGCGAAGGGTGTGGGGCGTGGGGCGAGGAGGCAACGAAATATGCATGGAGAGATTGGGGTGTGGGGAGTAGGAAGAGAGAAGGTAGAGGGGAGTGAGGATTGGGGTACGGGGGAGGGGCAAGGGGAGTGGGGAGAGGGGAGAGGGGGCGAAGGGCAAGGGGGGAATAAGGAGAGGGGAGAGGAGCGCGAAACAAGGGAAGTGGGTCTGTCCTTGGGTAGAGAGGGACTGGAGTTGCTCACCTGACAGCAGTGGGAGAGGCCACGGCAACGACAGGAGCTCTGGCGGCCCTCTGTATGGTGTCCTCGTCAACACTGGTCACCGACTCCTGATGCCCACATGCCCACACACGCACACAGACAACGGATCAAGCCATGGGGGAAGCGGATGAACAGGGAATGGAAGAGAGCCAGCAAGTAAATGAGGTTCTGTGAGACTGCTGGAGATGGAGAAACGCAATGAGTGGGGAAGTCTCTGGAGCATACAAACAGCTCCAGAGAAGGAATGCAACCGTGTTAGCTGACAGATGTATGTGCTGTGACTGTAACAGAGCGAGCTGAGCGCCATGCAGCATACCGTGGAGTATGTGTTGAGCCTCGTGACTTGGAAGCCCCTGCTTGCCAGCCCATTCTCTGCAATCACACAAACACGCAAGTGCAGAAATGTTTGAAGCACTGACAAAAAAAAATAATTTGCTAGTCACAGACCATCAACCAAGCAACCCTCTCTCCCCCTACCCCCACCCCCACTCCCCCGTCCATCTTCCCCCCTAGCTAACATGCATCCACATGCATCCCAGTCCAGAGCACCCACGGAGATCCGTGCTGGCCTTGGCCGAGGCGGGGTACAGCACCCGGCGGCTGCCGCCTTGAACCTCTGGAATCTCAGCCGACAGATACTTGGCCGTGGCTGGGGAAGGAGGGAGGGTGGAGAGGGGGGACAGGGTTGAACCTCTGGAATTTCAGCTGACAGATACTTGGCCGTGGCTGAGGAAGGAGGGCGGGTGGAGGGGGAGGCGAGGGGGGAAATAAGGAACGCACACATAGTTGCACCAGAAGCACTCGGCTGAGCCAGACAGCTCCAAACACCAATTTTCAAGAGAGAAGAAAACGGTTACCTATTGAGGGAACGAACTGGACGGGCAGGAGGTGCTTCTCGCGCTCTCCCAGCTGGTGGAACACCTCCGCTGTTCCTCCCCCCACCACTGCTAGCCGCAGCGCCGGCGACCCTGCGGCTCTGAGAGGTGACGGGGGGAGGGAGAGGTAGGTAGCGTTGATGGGTGTCATCAGAGAAGAAAGGACACGTGGCGTGGGTGGGTGGGATTATGACAATGGATGTCCGAGTCAGTGGAAACTGGAGTCGAGTCGACGGGAATGAGAGAGCACTTGCGTGAAATCAATGCACATGCGGATGCAAGGTTAGAAGGCCGGCAAAGAAAATGCCAGCGTGTGGTTGAACCTTACCTCCAGCCAGTAAGGAATACTGAAGCAGCTTCTGGCGAGGTTACCACAATCCACTCGAACTCCTCTTCTGCATACAAGAAAGCATGATTCAGAAGAAACCGAAAAAGGACAACGAACCGCTCAGGAAGTACCCAGGGTTCAGACGGGGCAACAAGGATCTTTAAAGAAGCAGGAACGAAGAAAGATCAGGGAAAATCGGGGGGATAGGGAGTGCCGATGGGGAAAGAAGAAGCTGACTAGGACAAGGAGGCGTGGAGGTGTGTGGAGTGACCTTGAAGCACGGCTGGCAGTCGGTGGGTGTCGGGCCCGTCTGAGTGCTGGATGAGTGGCAGCTCCATCACTGACACTCCCCTCGCACTCTGCGGGAAACAACAAGCGGAGAGAGGGAGATAGGCTACCATCTGAATGTTGTTGTTGTTGTTGTTGTTCACTAAGGCCCCTCTGAGTGCTGGATGAGCGACAGCTTCGTTTTCGGCACGTCCCTCACGTCAAGTGTGCGAGACGTCGATTCAGGATGTGAATGTCGCAACTGAGGTTCATCACATGGCGGGAAGAGCATCTGCATCAATGGCAGCCTCCTAAAGTTTTCCAGAAAATGCAGCTCAAACTTTGCCTTGTTCTCATCAGCACTTTCAACACTGTGCCGTTGTGTTTTGTACACAGAAACTTCTCAGAATGTCAACACTCACCAGTGCCTTCATCAGCTTGCCATTTTTGCCTTTCTCGCGCGTCGCCACCACCAGGGGTGGCTGATCCGATGCACCACTCTGCTGCTCTTCCTGCGACGCTGATCCTGCTGACGCTGTGACGAATCGGCACCGAACACGTCTTGTTTTCAGTGACGCAGATGACGTAGCAGAGACGCTGGAAACTGTGTGGAGACGCAGAGGGACCAAGCTGACTGCGCCATTGCTTCTGATGGTCATGACTGTTGGTAACAGGAAAAGAAACAGAAGAGCGAAGTTTGATTCTGGAGGCACCATTGTGAGAATTGACATGGTATTAAGAAATCTAGCACACCGTGCAGTCAAGACCGAGCATGACTGAGCATGAAAGCGTGGGCGACGGGATGAATGAAACATGAACGAATGTTCACGCCAGAATGAATTGGGACCAATGGTGCCGACCTGATGATCTCGAAAGGCCATGGTTTTCGACGACTCGCATCAATCTAACGCCACTTAGCGTGCTGGATGCCATGGCTCAGAAACTGGATTGATTCGACAAGAAGCACCAAAGCTAAACGCTAGGAGTAAAACGTAGAATACGGTTCCTCTGCCTCCCTTTCTCTCGGGACTACCGAGAGCTCAAAACCAGTGGAGACTGAACCTGAATGTCCTGGTGGCTGATTGCAGTATCAGAATTGTCAATGGAGATTTGTGAATGAATGCAAATGAACGAGGGGCTAGCCGGTAGAGTGTGGATTTGGAGAAGGTGCTGAGAAGGAACTAGGGGCCAGGGTAATCCAGAAAGATGTGCCAGCGCATACAGACCCCGATTCATCCAATCACAGAGCCTTCGCTTCAATGTGTTTGCCAAATGTCAATCTTTTATGGGTCTTCTGACGGTCAAATTGGTTCCAGCTTATGGGACAACCATGGCAAGCTCGAGGACTTCGCAGTTGTCTTAGCGAAGTCAAAGTTTGTTTCGACGGACATGGTTACTCGACCACTACATGCGATCTGCCGTTGCGGAGTAACCAGAGGACCGCAGGGAGGTAGGCCCATCTCCCGAACCATATGGAGAATGATTTGGTCGGTACACCCCCTTCTGGCCGAGACGTATGGCAGGCAGCACTCTGACAACATCTACACTACCCGCAGCCAACCAGACCAGAGCTGGTCGACGCCAGACAACCTCATACAGTCACACCACCGCCTGAACCACCTGATCCCCGAGTTTCCCGCTGGCCAATCAGCGTGAAACCCCGAGACTCTTCAGACGAGGCCAGGCCAGCGGACACGGCGCTCGATTTTCCCGAACCAATAGGCGCTGACTGCGAGGAAGTATGACCCGCACCGCACAAAGCGGTCGCGTCGCATTCTCCTGATGCTGGAAGGCAGGCACATTTGCTCTTTTCAGATTCACTACAAGAGAATATGCATTTTCTCTCCCCCTTCACCCCTCTCTTAGGCCTCCATTCATGTCTTGGTCTCTGCCACAGTTTCAAGTAGCTATGAAGGCTAATTCGCAACCACGGTCTCGTTCGTGTTGTATCTGTTTTTGCTGAATCCACGCCACAGTCGGCGCTGTCTTCCTGTTCAGGTTCCTGCCTCTGTTCTTGTCCCTAACCTTCGCACCTAGACGGTAGACCGCACAGGCGAATGTTGCGAATCCTCCGCCGCGCAACCTATGTGCCGAACCTGATGGAAATGTTATTATATAGATAAAATCTATAATCTACTGGGGCATCTCAAAAGCACTCTTACAGAGTTCGTCGACCACAGAGTAGCCCGCGTGATCGTTTGTTCATCCTGCAGGGCGCTCGCTTGCTGTTTAGGTTGCGCTAATCGACGCTTCAGGTCGTCCATTCCGCCAAAGTCAATCCCCCGACGATAAATACTCCCATTCGCACAGCCTGCCCTTCTGCGCTCCCCCATATCCACATCCGCTGTAAGTCTAGACGCGTTAAACGCTGCAGTAACTGAACATTCCACTGGAAAAAAAGTTTTCTCCCTTGGGGCTAAGCTCATCATGGAAGGCTCCACCACGCCCGTAAAATCGACACACGGCACGCCAACCAGAAGCGTTTCGGCCCCCGTTAGAAACCTCTCGGCGGGATTCTCGCCGCGACCTCCGACCTCCCCTTACTCCACTCCTTCCTCCTCCTTTCTCCTTTTCGGCGGAAAGCCATGGCGGTCGTGGGCGTGGGCCGCGAACAGCCTGCCGCTGCTTTCCTTCTTCGCGCTCGCGCTTATAGCGACGGGGCTGGTGCGCCAGCTCAACTCGCTCGCGGGGGTCGACGTTGTGACTATATCGGATGCGGAGATGGCGAGGATTCAAGTCGTGGGTGACGTGTGCGGGATGGGTCCGATGGAGCTGAGAAGTATCATGGCGGAAGAGCATGGGTGGCGGCGAGGTAAGATGCACTGACGCGTCCTCTCTTGAACACGCGCCCTTTTCCCGATCCCTTGTCCGCTCCACGTTTCTTCGCCAGATCGATCTGCCATGCTCGTAACTCCCGCCTCAAGGCTAAGTCCCAGCTCTATCTCTCTCCCCTACATCCTCTTTCCTCCCTCCCCTTCCTCCTTCCCCCTGCCTCCCCGCATCCCTTCTTTCGTCCCCCTCCTCCTCTTGGTTCGGATCCCCGCCATCCCAATGCGCCTGCGATATCGCCCCCGTCGCCCCGCGTTTCGCGCCAGACGAGCCGCGGTACTGGTACGCGGGGCGGTGGCAGACGAACCGGCAGCTCTACCTCGCCTTGGAGGTCGTGCGAAAGCAGTTACCACGCGACGCCGTCGTGTGCGCGATGGCGGCGGTGCACGGCCAGGTGCCGTGCCTGCATGCGCCGTGCGTGCTGACGGTGCATGTGCGGCCGTACTACTCGGATTTCAGCGTGCTGAAGCAGCTTGTTGAGATGGACGAATTTGGGTTCATCAAACATTTTCGGCCGTCGACCGTGCTGGATGCAGGTAAGCGCGAGTCCCCGGTTTCACTGCTCAACCGGTTGATGCTTCCAAGCCCAGAGTACAATACGGCTTTATGGCTATTTCCACACATATGGTTGTACCCTGCTGGCCCTTCAGATAAGCCGTCCTCACGTTTTTCGTCTGCTGGTGTTTCTCCTCGTTCCCAGGAGCCAACGTGGGCTATGCGACGCTCATATTCTCCACCTTCTTCCCCAACGCTACTGTGGTCGCGATAGAGGCGAGCGACAAGAACTACGAGGTGTTACGGCGTAACACGTATCGCCTGCGCAACGTTTATGCGGTGCATGCGGGGCTGTTTAATCACTCTGGAATGGTGCTGCTAAGGAATGGGACACAAACGAAAACGAGGGAGGGGTGGCAGTATGTGGTAACGCCAGTGCCCTCTAATAGCAGCGGTGACACAAACGAAGGTGATACTAACGAGGATGTTCAGGAGGGGGTAGAGGGTGAAGCGAACAGCAGCAACAGCAGCGGAGTGGCAAGCACAGGGGCAGCTGAGGGGGGCGTGACTATCCGTGGTGTGACTGTAGGCGATGTGCTAAAGCAGGTTGGGTTGGCGAGATTCGATTTTGTGAAGATGGATATTGAGGGTTCCGAGGCTGAAGTGCTGGCCATGCCCCCGTTGGCTGCAGGCACAGATGCGACTACATCGAATGCAGATTCCACTGCCTCTAGGGAATCCAGCAGCAGCAATGGCAGTGACAACAGCAGCAGCAGCAGTAGTACCAGCAGCACAGCTGATGTCAGCAGGGAATCTAATTGGTACGACCCTAGGCCGTGGTTGGATGAGGTTCGGGTGATGGCAGTGGAAGTGCACGACCGCATGAAACCGAATTGCACCGTTACTGTAGAGGCTGCTACTGTAGCGCGGCAGTGGCGCCTGCTGGCACGATCAGGAGAGTATCTTGTGCTTGAGAATGAGCGGTGGAGCGAGAGGAGGGGGAGGCGAGGAGGGGCGGTGGGGCAGAGAGCGGTAGACAGGGAGAAGTTGAGAGAGGTGCAGAGGAAGGAAGTGGAGAGGAGGAAGGAGGGGGCGATGGCAGAGGGGAGGGCGCAGCAACGAGAGCAGGCAGCAGGAGCAGTAGGTCCGGGAGAGAAGCAACAGCGGCTGCAGCAAAGTGGGGAGGTGAAAGGACGGCATTAGGAGTAAGGTTGGTTCTGTGGACAATAGGTGCTAGAGAATTGGATTGGAATAGGTATGTTTATAAGAGAATAATACCAGCAGGGATGCAGCTCAGCTCACCACCTCTTCAGCCAGCAACACCCAGGATTCAGTTCCTAAAATTTCACTTGCAAAGGTGCACTTCTAATGAGTAGCCGCATAAATTCAGATCACGGTGAAGTTATCATGATATCGCTAAAACAACAGACAACACCACACAACAGTCTTTTCATGACAAACGCCCTCTTTGTTGAGGCGCCTCAAAAGAGTAATTGAGGCAGGTCAGAAGACCAGTGGAAAAGCGCCCTGTGAGAATCCTGATATCCGTTACCCTCCACAAGCGATCCGAACGCGCACTCCTGTGCCTCCATGCGGCACGCGGGGCTCCTATCGCTCAGACCGGTACCTAGCATGGGGGCAAGAGGGGGAAGCGTGGCTGTTTGAGCATAAGGCATGTGAACCTGCCAACACATGCACGAGTCAGAGTCACTGTGCTCGTGCGCGTCAGTCGTGACCAATTGAAACAAATGAAAGAAGCGGGAAATACTTGAAGGTTACTCAGACAGGTAAGTCGAAAGGAAGAAGCAGAAGTGAGTGATGAGGTGGGAGGGTGGGTGGGGAATGGAAAGAGGGCATACCTGCATGGAAGAGAATCCGAACCATAGAGAGAAGTGGGAGGGAGGGAGAGGGGAGGAAAACCCGGAGACCCGGAAACCCGACCACAGGCCACCGCGCATGGGGGTGTTGGTTGTTAGGCCGAGAAGCGTGAGCTGCTCTTATGGGAGGTGCGAGCTGGTCTGCGCGAAAGTGGTGGCGGCACAGGAAGGACAGCCTGGTCCGCCCACGAGGGGCTGGGACAAGAGGGTGAGAGGAGAAGGGAGCGGGGGGGACTGCAGAGACTGGCAGGTGTATGCACACAGGTGTATACACATGCAGACACATGCACCAACTCACACAGATGCTTTTGCACAGAAAACAGGTGACAGTTTCACGGGTGAGGGTGGTATGAGCATGAAAATTGCAATGGTGTGTGTGCTCGTTTGTAATGTCAAGCAAGTCAACACAGGAACCGGCTAACTAAGAAAGGAGGTTCATCACACCGTTTCTTGGGGGTTGGGCTGCGGCTGCTGCTGCTGCGGCTCCTGCTGCGACTCACACTGCGGCTCCTCCTCCTGCTCCTCCTCTGCTCCCCATGCCCCTCCCCCTTGCCCCCTTCCTTCTCCTTCCTCTTCTCCTTGTCCCTCTTGCTTCCCTTCTCCCGCTTCTCCTCCTTCCCTCTCCTGCTCTCCTTCTCCTTCTCACTGATCTTCTCTGCTCTCTCTCGCTCCCTCCCCTTGTCCTTGCTCCCACGCTTCCCATGCCTGGGGTTCAAACAGAGGATAGGGAAGGCAGGTAGACGGCCATCAAGGGTGGGTAAGGACGAGGGAATAGAACATCATCAAGGGAACGTCATCTGGGGAACATATAAGATATTGCATGCCCGCTCACATGCCATCCATCCTTACATCTCCACCCCCCCCACATGCCCACCCCCTCACATGCCCACCCGTATGTCCACGGCCATGCGTCTTACGTCTCACCTGCTACGATCCTCCTCCTCCTCTTTGTCTCCAGCACTGCCAGACTGCTCGGGTTGAGGGGACGGGGAGCGAGACTTGCTGCAATGCCTGCCCTTCCTGCTTCCCTCCTTCCTTTTCTCTGATCGCCCGTGCCTGCCTCCCTTTTCCCGCGCTTCACTCCTGTCCTCGTCACTATCAGCATGAGCATCAGCATCAGCTTCTCCTTTCTTCTCTTTGCTCTCCTCTTTCCTCTTGCCCTCAGACTTGTCTTTCCTCTCACGCTTCTCCTTGCTCCTCCGCTCCTCCTTCTCTATCTCGCCTTGAGATCCTTTGCTCTCCTTCCTGCTGCCCTTCTCCCTGCTTTCGTCCCTACTACCCTCCTCATCTCCATCCCTCTTCCTCTCCTTCCCCCTCCTGTCTCTCTCCTTCTCCCTCTCCCCATCCTTCTCACCACTCCTCTCCTTCTCCCTCTCCTTCTCCCTCTCCTTGCCCCTCCTCTCATCCCTCTCTTTGCTCCTCTCCTCGCCCCTAGCACTCCTCTTCTCCTTCTCTTTTCCATCATCCTTCTCTTTATCATTTTCTCTATCCTTCTCCTTATTTTGCGCCCTCTTCCTACCCTCACGCTCACTTGCATCCCGGCTCTTGTCCTTGCTCCCGGACTCTTCCCTATCTTCCTCATCCTCCCTCTTCGCTTTCCGATCTCTCTCTTCTCTATGCCTCTTCTCACTTCCCTCCGTCCTCTCATGCTCCCCTCTCCTCTTTTTCTTCCTCCCCTCGCTCTCCTCACTTTCCCCATCCTTCTCCTTATCATCTTTCCCCTCACTCCTCCTGCTCGTCTTTCCCTTCCTGCTTTCCTCCTCCCCTCCCTCCTCCTCTCCCCTCGCCCGCCCACGCCCTTCCTCCACCTTCTTCCCCTTCCCTACCCCATCATCCCCGCCCCCGCTCCTCTTCCTCCCCCTCTCCCCCTTATCATCCCCCTCTCTGCGCACCTCTTCCCCTCCCTCCTGCTGCCCCATGCTCCTATCGCCCCTTCCCTCCTGCCTTTCCTCCATCTTCGCCCCTTCATCCCCTTCTTCCCCATCCTTGCCCTCCTCCAACGCACCATCCTTCACTTGCTCCTCTCTCCCCATTCCGTCTCTCTGCACCGCACTCCCAACCCCTTCACCACCATCAACCCCTCTGTCCTTTGCATCCCTTACCACTTCATTCTCCTCCTCCTTCTTCTCCTTTTCCTCCTCCTCTTCCTCTTCCTTCTCCTCCTCCTCCTTCTCCTCTTCCTCTTCGTCCTCCTCCTCCTCCCCCTCCCCCTCCTCATCCTCCTCCTCCTCCTCATCATCATCATCATCCTCATCACTCCCATATGCAATGCCCAACAGCCCTCCACCCAACAACCCTCCCCCTCCTCCCGCCCGTTTCTTCTTCCTCTTACTCTTCCTCTTCCTCTCAGCACTCGTTGCCTTACTCGTATCAACCATCCCCTTCCTCCCAGAATCAACTGCCCCTCCTTCCACAACCACCCTGTTTTCCTCAACCGCGCCTGCCCCACTTGGTTTTTCACCTGATTCTTCACCTGCTTTCCCATCTTCCTTCCCCTCCACCTCCATACGCCTGTTTCCATCCTTCTCCCCCTCGGTCCCTTTCTCCTCCTCCTCCTCCCCTTCACCCACTGTCACCCATTTCCCTCCACTAACATTCCTCCCCTTCTCCTCCTCTTCCGCCTCCTCCTCCTCGCGGGGATCCCTGAGAGCATCCTTGGCTATCCCCCTCACCATGTCGTCAGTCACCTGTTGGCAGGGAGAGAGGTTGAAACAATTGAGAGAGGGGGATTGAGTTTCTCCTCCTCTTCTTACTCCTCCTCGCGGGGATCCCTGAGAGCATCCTTGGCAATCCGCCTCACCATGTCGTCAGTCACGTGTTGGCAGGGAGAGAGGGGTCTGGGCAGGGGGAGAGCGTGGGACAAGGGGAGAGGGTGGGCAGGCGGCGGAGACGATATACTGGCCAATTCAGCACGCGACTCACCACAATAATCACGAAATGACGTTTCTGTTGACTCAAAAGTCAGTTCAGGCCTCTGATGTGATTGTGACCCTCGCATGCAAACCTCGCATGCAACCCTCGCATGCAACTCCTCACATGCAACCCCTGTTAAGCAGCACTTGTGTCAGCTCAGCACGCATTAGTTAGGTCTCGTTGTTCAACCCCATCCTTCAGAGCAGTGCGTGCAACTCACCCCATCTCACCCACCCCAAGTCGAATAATCACCCACCTTGAGCAGCATTTTGTGAGCACGCGCTTGATCTCGCCGTTTATCGCCATTCTTCGGGGCAATAGATAGCAGTATGTGCAAGGCACCTCACCTCACAAGCGTCTGAACTCCCCTCAACATCCCACCCACCTTGAGCAGCACTTCAGTGAGAACGCGTTTGATCTCATTATTCATCGCCATCCGCCGCTGCACCTCCGTCTCCTCCTCCTCGTCCTCCTCCTCATCGTCACTCTCCACACTCCTTCCCCTCCCACCACCAGCACGAGAAGCACCACGAGCAGCGCCACCAGCGCCAGCACCAGTTCCAGCGAGAGGGCCTCTATCGTTGTACCATCTGTCCTTTGAGGGCGCTTTAGCGGGTGAGTCTGCTGCTCCTGCTGCTGCTAAGGCTGCCTTCTTCTTGATGACCTCATCCACCAGCCACGAGGGGAGGGACTGAAGCGGAGACAGAAGGTAGGAGTATGGAGTAAGAAAGGTTGGGTTAGAAGGGAGGACGGGGGGAAGAGGAGGCGGAGAGGAGAGACTGCGAGGGCTGCCTTCTTCTTGACGACCTCGTCCACAAGCCACAAGGGGAGTGACTGGAGGGGTGGAAAGAAAGATAACGAGTGAGTGAGAGAGTGTGTGGGGGGGACGCGGGAGAGGGTAGGGGAAGAGGGAAAGAGAGAGAACGACTAAATCACAAAAACATGAACGGTGGAGGACTCAGGAGAGGGGAGGGGAAGAGGGAGAGAAAAGGGACGAGAACAGAAAGAAGGAATATGTGGGTGGGGGGGGTGCGAAGAGGGGGGGAAAGGGGGGGGGGGGGGGGGAGAGAGGGTGTGGGGGGGAGAAGGGGGAGAGGGCCGAGAGATATCTGAATGGCATTCTTAAAGCGTCTCAATCGACGGCAGCAGCTCACCTTTTTCGGTTTAGCGCCAGGAGTGACGGAGCCACCCCCTCCCATGTCGTAAACAGCCGGATCAAATACATCCCTGCTGTTTTAAGATGCCTCAAAACCAAAGCAGCAGCAGCAGCTCACCTTTTTGGGCTTAGCGCCAGGAGTGGCAGAGCCACCTCCGCCCATGTCATAAACGGCTGGGTCGAAATACATCCCTGCAGAGGCTGCTGCCGCCTGTGCCGCCGCCAGCACCGCTGGTGAGAGCACGGACATGTCTGCTGCCTGATTGGCTGGCGGCGCGTACGCTGCTGCCGCTCCTGCTGCTGGCGGCGGGGCGGGCGGAGGGGGGAGAGAGGAGGCGTGCGCGGGGGGCGGGGCGGAGAGGAGCGGCGGAGGGGGCGGCGGCAGGGGCAGGCGCTGGTAGTGCTGCTCGTGCGCGTGCTGGGGGGGAAACCCGCTTGCTGCTGCCGCTCCTGCTGATGCTGATGCCGCTGCTGCTGCGTCAGGCGCATTGGAATCCCCATATCCCGAGTACACTCCGTTGTATGTACCCGCGGGGCCAGTAGGGGGGAATTGCGGGGGCGGAGGGGGGTATTGCATCGGCGGAGCGGGGTAATGTGGAGGGTAGAACGACGCGGGATCGGGGGGATGGGCGTGGGGAGGGAGAGGAGGGCCGTGGGAAGGAGGCGGAGGTGGGTACATGTACATTTGCTGCTGCTGTTGCTGCTGCTGCTGATGTTGCTGGTGCATTTCAGGTGGGTAGTAATACTGCTGGTAATGCTGCTGATAGTACTGCTGCTGCTCTTGCTGATGCTGCTGCTGCTGCTGCTGCTGCTGCTGCTGCTGCTGCTGCTGCTGCTGCTGCTGCTGCTGCTGCTGCTGTTGCTGCTGCTGCTGTTCTGCCCCTGAGCTTCCGACCATAGCAGCAGCACCGCCATACCCACCACCCACATACGTCCCGTCAGCAGCGACATACCCCCCGTATCCGCCTCCCCCCACTCCCCCACCCACATCCTGCTGTTGCGTACCCGGCGCCGCCGTCGCCGCCGCCGCATCCGCTGCTACAGCAGTATCCTGCTTCGGCGGTTCCTTGTCCTCGTTAGCTGCTGCTTCTTTATTCGTTGCCGCAGCAGCTGCCGCCGCAGCTGCCGCTGCTGCTGCGTCCGCCGCTTCCTGCACCGCCCGCTGCTCCGCCCAGAGCCGCGCCTTCGCCGCCCAGTCGAGCTCCACCCCTGATACACGGGGTGAGGGGGTCATGAACGGTTTAAGGAAGTCGTGAACGCTTCAAGGGAGCCGCGAACGGTTCAACGGAGTCATGAACGGTTCAAGAGTGTCATGAACGGGTTGATACTCGGATCGAGAGAGCCATGCATACGGCGATGCATGATTCGATTCAGTGACACTTAAGCGACGCGGGTAATGACGCACGGAGATGGAAGCAAGCAATCAATATGAGTCGATATGACAGATACGGAAGAGAAACAAGTCGTTATTGTAACACGATTCCGACGCATCAGAGGGACTAGGCGAAGACAATTTACGAGGCGAAACAAGAATCAGGAAGACTTAGCGGAAAGACATTACCGCCAAGCTGAGGCTCCTGCGTCTGTTGCTGCTGCTGCTGCTGCTGATAACCCCACGCTCCGCTCGCGTCCCAACCCTGCTGACGCCATCATGCGTCAGATTGAAACAGAAGCAAACACGGCGACCACGCATATCAGCCTGAGGGCTTCCGAAGCGCGTTTGTTTTTTCAGGATTTCTTCATTTGCGTTGTTGTAAAAACCGGAAATAGAGCAAGCGGTCATGGTTGCTAAAAAAGAGGCTCAATCCCGCGTGACGAAAGAAGAGGGTTCACGCGTGACGCATGGAACCATCAAGTGAGGATCTAGAGGACAGCTAAATGCAACGCAACCACGTTTCGTGGAAGGTTCTGGCGGCAGCACCTGGTGTGACGGCGCATAGGCACCTGTGCTGCTGGCCGGCTGGCTCCCGGCGCTCATGGCTCCCGCCTGCGACGCGCCTGCTTGCGCGGCCTGCCATTGATCCGCCATACCTCCTTAAGAACCGAGCAAGGTAAGGTAGCGTGCAGATTTCAGTCAATTCAAAGGCCGATCAAAACAAGCTGTAGACTGGTATGCGGAAACTAAATACTTCCGCCGAATTCCTAATTTCTCTAGGTTTAGTCCAAAGCAATGAAAATGAGCATGTGGGCAATTTTGGTTTTACAGTTGACTGAAAGGTTTATTCCGGTGCGCAATGGTCTAACGCGGCCGAAATCCGTTTCAAAAAGTGGTATGATCCGCAATCTTGGGAGGATCAGGAAAAGATGAGGGAGGAGGTTTTCTGGCGAGAGCAAAATCCCCGCAAAGGCGACGGTCTCGTTACGGCTGTACCGGGTATGCTGCTGAGATCCATGATGCATCCAGAACACACAAGTCTCAGGACCATGATAAATCCGCATGACAATGACAATAATACATCTATACATTGCATAATTTCTTGGTCCAACAAGCTACCATAACGATCAATACAGGATTATAATACATTATGCACACAATGCACGTATTTTCTATGTACATTTCAATCTTTGACCACCATACCAAACCAACCAATAATAAACCTAACCTTATGCTTTCTACTGGCTTTCTTGTCCTGAGTTCCATTGCATTTGCTATGCTTTCCAGCAACCCCCGTATCAACTCTTGAATTGTCATCTCCCAGCATCTTTTCCCCCCACCCGGGCCCCAGGCCCCTTAGCTTGGTCACTGAAGCTCCAGATTCCTCCTCTTCTTCCACCATCTTATCAAATACAGCTGTGCACTTCTCAGCATCCAAACTGTTGCGTACGTCCTCCTCACCCCTCCCTCTTGCCCCCCTCTGAACACCACTTCTGAGATTCGATCCCTGGCCCTCTCCCATGCAAAGCTTGCGGAGGTTAACAGGGGTTCCTATGCGCACGGGGAGTGTTGCGCCTGTGTCTACCCGCGAGATCAGCTCTTCCGCTGCCTGTTGCGCCTCCACAACAGCCAATGCCGCCCCGCTGATTCTCGCACGTGCGCTGTCAATCCACGACGGATCGCATGCCAGCTCAGCGTCTAGTCTCGAGCATTCCACGCACATCAACGTCCGGTTCGCGTCGTCATGTGAGTAGACGGACGACGCAGGCGACATGACGCTGATGTCGCTGCACGACGACGTGCGACGAGAACACGACCGCCGTTGTCGCATGCTCAAGTCGTCGGAACGGCGGGAAAGCAGGCTTATGTCAGCATACGACATGTGCAACGGGAGGCTGGAGTGTCGCGGACCTGCGACGCCGTCGTCTCCCGTTGGAGTGTCGCATTCCAAGTTGCTACTACTTGATCGAGCTCAACACTCGCAACGCAGCTCCCACGCACCGTCGTGCTCCCACGACCTCGCTGAATCGCGCGATGACGCCTCGAAGGCACCCGAACGGCCAATAGTCCAGGTGGAGTCACACAAGGATTCCGCAGCCATTGGTAATGAACGGAAACAACCACGGGTGGTGCTAGTAGCTACGAAACGAACTGAATGGACGAGAAACACACCGGACCACGACATTAATATCGTAGAACGAGCAGCTAAGGGTTGAAGAGCTGAGTCACTGTCGTTGACGTCTGAATCTGGGACAAGTACTCATGTCCCGCCCAGCAGCCTCATGGCCACTGCCGGGATGGCTAGGAGACAGCTGGAAAGACGATGAACCGGCGCGCATCGAAGGACTGGAGTGAAGGCACTGACCGCTGTTGCTCACGGAACAGCTAAGGAATAACACCTAGGTACTGTACGCCTTTTCACACCATACAGTGTTGTCTGTCTGTACACGCCGTTCAGTCCCCCGTCGTTCACGCGCCATTGTCTTTGCTGTGCCAAGAACGTGCCCAGAGCACCATTGGCAACGCGATTTTTTTTTTGAAAAACCGACCCGATGAACCAATCGCGCTCGAAAGGACAGTTTCGAAGAGTCGCACCTGACCTCCCTGACCAGCCCCACGCGCGTATACAGTACAGGGAGTAGACATTAGGCCCCTTTCCCCGGTTCCCGAACCACACGTCCCATACGTATCTTATTCTGGAATCCTACACACCATGATCCCCCCTCAGACACACCACACCCTCTTTCCCAAGAGAATCAATTCGAGAGCTTTGTGTGTGAAAATCGAGTGGTGGGAAGCTTGGGGCGAGCAGAATTCACTTCGGACTGGCAATGAGTGCAGGATCAAAATCAGGTTGGTCAATGGTCATACGGATGCACGCAAAAGCGCTGTTATTGGGTCCTTCACCCTTGCGGGATATCTCTTCAAGGCCTAATTGCGTGGTTGCAAAAATGGCGGGAAAGTGGGAGGAGCCACAAAGCATGGATACGCCAGCTTGGAAATAAGGACTTTCTCGGTCAGGTGACTCAGGTCACCATGTCGTATGACGTGTCATTTACGGCTGTGCTGGGCGATATTCGGCTGTTGTTGCCATGTCACGATATTCTCACATTCGGTTCAGATTTATTCTCCAGCTGTGTGGGTGAGAGACTGGATGGCTAGGTGTTCTGCTTTGTATGTGCAATCACGGTTGGACACGGTTCTTGTGCATATCATCACCAATACGCAGCAAAGTTTTCAGAGCCTTAGGGCGTGTAACTAATTCCGTCCGGACGAAGGCCCTTCCGGACTTTGGTAGGGTTACAGTTTTCGCCTTAGTTCGTGAGGAACTTCGCAAGCCTCCCTGCGACGTCGCCACCGTCCGGACCCAATCTGACACTTTTTTGTCAGAAGGGGTCCGGACCATCCTTCTGACACCGTCCGAACGGCAAAGCGGACCGTCCGTCCTACCTACGCTGTCATTGGCGCACGAATCTGACGTACAATTTCGAGTGTGCTGATGTAATGCGTGTTACTTTTCGCAGCTACATTAAAAAAATCGCCCACGAAAAAGTTCCACATCTGTGGTCCGGACGGGCTGTCGTCCGGACCTGTGTACCAAACGTCCGGACGGAGCTGTTGAGATAAGAACTTAGGAGATTAGGAGCTTGGAGGGAGAGTAGCATAGTGAGATGGTTATCGAGGGAGTTTAGGTTGGCCAAAATAGTGGTTTGATATTAGGCAAGAGTACAAGATATAGGAGAAGGAAGAGAGAAGAAGACGGTACACCACCAGCAGTTGAACCTAATAACTAACTAATACACTAGCAAGCTGTGTCAACACTTAGGCAAGGGTGGATTCAACTGTCGAGAGAGATTTTTGCAAGTAGGAAAAACCTAAGGGGTTATACCCCACAGAATCTACCCCACTACAGCCTACCAATAACTACAACATATTATCTATATATGTTTGACACACCCCCATAGGCAAAGTGGGGGAGAGCAAGGGGTCACAAGACCAGTCAAGAAAGGCAAAGCAAGCTCAGGGTGGATCACAACGTCACCACACACTCTGAGCACAAGCAAAGTGCCACAAGGCCAGTTCACATGCAGAGGCATATATGCAACACAAACAGCACAGTGATCTCTACCTAGCAAAGCAACCATGCAGGTATATATATACATATAGATCACAGTACAAGCAAAGCCTACAGCAAGTGAGGAAAAGTGGGCACAAGCCCTAGCATAGTGCAGAAACGCTGATGATCACCAGACTGAAGTGCCTTGGTGAATATATCAGCAGTGTTGGCCCGAGTGGCCACGTAACGCAGACGAAGCTGACCACGCTGCTGCAACTCTCGAGCCAGGAAGTAACGCAGAGCGATGTGCTTCGTTCTGTGCTCCAGTCTGTGCTCCTCACACAAGGCAATGGCTGCCTTGTTGTCGACGTACAGCACTGGAGGAGAACGAGGCCGCTCTCCCAAGTCGGTCAGCAGGTAGGTGAGCCAACGTAACTCCTGTGCAGCCATGGCTGTGGCGTAGATCTCAGCCTCACAACTGGAGCTGAGAACTGAAGACGAACGTGTAGAACGCCAAGAAACTGAACCAGAGCCAAGGCTGAAGGTGTAACCCTGTGACGACCGCTGAGTAGTCTGGTCGTCAACCCAAGAAGCGTCTGAGTGCCCAGTGAGAACAACTGAGCTCCTCCCTCCAAGCACGAGCCCCATGCCCGATGTACTGCACAAGTAGCGTAGTACCCTCTTAGCAGCATCCATGTGCACCTTTCGGTGCCGACCAGGAGCCACGTAGCGAGCCAGAAGGCCAAGAGGGTACGCAAGGTCAGGACGAGTGCAGGTCATCAGGTATATGAGGCAGCCCACT